CCCCTTTGGGCTCCTGTCCCCAGGCACCGCTCTAAAGAGGGTCTGACTGAGCGCTTTGAGCTGTTTGTCATGAAGAAGGAAATCTGCAACGCCTACACCGAGCTCAACGACCCTGTGCGGCAGCGGCAGCTATTTGAAGAACAGGCTAAGGTAAGGAAGTGTAGGGTGGGAAGCAAAGGCATTGTGTTGCCTCATGTACCTACTCCTTAGACAGTGTAGCCTGAACCCAGGTCTCTGTCATTGTCTGCATCTCTTGGTGACTTCAGCAGAGATGAAGGTTAAAGCCATGAGCTTCACTGGAGGAAGTCACCTTTCCAGATGGAGAACTTGGCTGGTTTGGGCCCTAGAATTTCCACATAGAGGAGTTAGGCATGATTTTTTTCTGTGTGGGGAGTGTGATGCTTGCATTAAAAGTATATCTGCATAACGAGAACATCATTTTTCTTAAATGGTACATTTATTAAGGTGGCTTGGGGGTGAGAGGCAGGGAGATTAGTGAAGACAAACCTGCCCGCACCAGCACTGCCACGGATGTGTAGTTTCAGGAAATGAGGAAAAGACTCTTGGGAATCCTCAGTCTCCAAAAAATCTGTCTCGCTGGACTTATAGAGCCTGGGGCACTGGAGGTGTTTTCATTTCACAGAGAAATTCGCATGTGTTCCCAAGTGGGGCTCACCAGCCCTGACCTTGAATTTGAAAGAAATAGCTCCATCCTGAAGTTACTGGGAAACCAATTCCCAAGAAGTACTGCTATGGGTGTCCATAGCATCCCCAGAATGGTCATCCCTGTGAACGTGCTGACATGCTCACTCAGACACGGAGAGACAGCATAGCCTGGACTAGTGTCACCGTTTGGTTCTCTTTAGGCCAAAGCTGCTGGCGACGATGAAGCCATGTTCATAGATGAGAACTTCTGCACTGCTCTGGAATACGGGCTACCCCCCACCGCTGGCTGGGGCATGGGCATCGACCGTGTCACCATGTTTCTCACAGACTCCAATAACATCAAGGTACGTGGTGGTCCTCTGGCACACACTGCCCTGGAGAGCTCCATTCTTGGAGGCAGGAGATGGCAGGCCAGGAGAAGGAAGAAGGGGCTTTGGGATGAAAGGAGGACCAGGCAGAGAGCAATACACGACTCCACAGGACAGTCAGGGCATCTGATCTGATGGGATTTGGGGGTTTTCTACCTGAGGCAGAAAGAATACTCATTTTTTGCATTTCTTGATGATCCGAGGAACACGCTAAGTCCTCTCCATGTGTTATCTCTATGTGTTATTTCCTTACTTAAGTTAGCTCTATGAGATGTAGAAACTGTTGTTACTCCCATTGTTATAGATGGGGAAATGCTACACTAAGAGAATCTCTGTTCTCACTCATTCTTTTCCATCCTCTATAATAGGAAGGGACTGAGTTGAAATAGAAACCTAGATCTCTGGATTTGAGTGGCAACAATAACCAAAAGCAAAACGAATGAGTGAATAGCTATGAAAAAGAGCGTGCTTCTCACCTCAAAGTGTGTTTTCTCTCCTGCAGGAAGTACTTCTGTTTCCTGCCATGAAACCCGAAGACAAGAAAGACAGTGGAGCTACCCCTGAAACATTACAGAGCACGACAGCTGGCACTTCTGTCTAGAAAAGGATCACTGCAAGTCCTGTAACTCAGGCCTCTCTGCATCTTGCACAAGTTCAAGGACTGCAGGGGAGTTCTCACGTGTTGCTGTCCATTTGACGATCACAGTTCAGTTCAGCTACGAGAATAGAGAAGAGGAATTAAAAATTCCTTTTTACTTCTTGTTCCCAAATAAACCATTTGTCTCTACTCTCGTCTCATGACTGTGTTTACTGTGGAATGTCAGCTTTTACTCAGACAGCTGGTCTAGTGAATGTTTAGGATTATACTACTTTATTCATTCAACAAATTCATATTAATGTCTGCCCTGTACCAGGCATTGTGCTAATGGATTGGGGACAGCAGTGAACACATGAAGCAGCTGGGGGAAACCAGGGAGGAGTCCTACCAGGAAGGACTTGTCTTTTGCATCTCAGCAAAACCTGCAAGTGTCCCAGCAAGTTGTCATTTCTGTAGCCGTTACAATGATGTGGGTGCGCAGAATCTCCTCACTGGGAATTAACTTCAGAGAGTGTTGAGCATCTCCACCCCGTTGCTGGTGTTTCAGCACAGGTTCCAAGAGCACTTGGCAGCGGTGAGAGATAACCAGGAAGTATTTCAGAAGAAACCCTTCCAGATGCTACATCCTTTGGCAAGATGGTGTTAAAATGAAAACCATTTCCCCAAAGGAAAGGGTACAGATTCGAGATATGGTACTGGACTTCAGGCAGCACCACCACTGTAAAAGGCAACAAGAATCAATAAGGTCACAAGTGACCTTTAAGGAGCTGTTTAGGGGTACCTGGGTGGTGCAGTCAGTTGAGCGTCTGACTCTTGGCTTTGGCTCAGGGTTGTGGGATGTAGCCCCAAGTTGGGCTCCGCACTTAGCTGAGAGTCTGCTGGAGATTCTCCTTCCTTCTGCCCCTCCCACTTGAGCTTGCTCGCTCACTCGCTCTCTCCCTCACATAAGTACATCTTAAAAAAAAAAAAAAAAAAAAACTGTTTAGTAGTAATCTGGGGACAGAAGCTAGCTGTCTGGCCTCAAGTCTGGAGACAGATGAACTGAAGCAATAGACAACTTGTGGGATTTGGCAGGAAGAATGCTTAGAAGGAACAGGCTTATAAGTCTTCACTGCCTCTTGAAACAGTTGAAGGCTCACAATTTGCTAACTACTATACAGGGGTAAACAGGCACAGTCCCGAGCATCCTCAAGCTTCCAGACTTCTAAGGAAAACAGACATACAATAAGTCATTTTTTTAACTGTAAAATGGAAGTTCTAATAAATGCTTTGAAGGAGAGTTCCATGGGGTATTGAGAAACTAACAGACCTAGTTAAGGTTTACCAAAGGACATTAGAATCTGAGATTTGAAGGAAGGTAGAGCATTAAGTAGTTAAAGAAGGAGAGGGTTTTCCATGGTGTAGTAGCAAGCGCAAAGGCCCAGAGATAGGGAAAGCACAGGAAAGGTGAATGACACTAGATGGAGTACAAAAGCCCATGAAAATATATGCTACCAGATGAAGCAGAAGGAGGCTGGCCATACAGGGGTAGGAACCCTATTATGGGATTTTGTGTATTCTCTGAGTCCTACTATGGGATTTTGTATTTTGAGAGTGCTGAAACACTAAAGTCTTTAAGTAGGGCAGTGACATCACATTTGTGTTTTGAAAACCTCAATCTGGGGATCCCTGGGTGGCGCAGCGGTTTGGCGCCTGCCTTTGGCCCAGGGCGCGATCCTGGAGACCCGGGATCGAATCCCACATCAGGCTCCCGGTGCATGGAGCCTGCTTCTCCCTCTGCCTGTGTCTCTGCCTCTCTCTCTCTCTCTCTCTCTCTCTCTGACTATCATAAATAAAAAAAAAAATTAAAAAAAGAAAGAATTGGAATTGGGCAAGGAAAGGTACAAATCTAGAGGTTAGCATAACAATCCAAGAGGAAGACAGAATGGACTATTGCCGTGGAAATGGACAGAAGTGGATGGATTCAAGACACAGGAAGTAAGATCAACAGGACTCAGCAATATAATATATTGTCAGGGTTACTGGAAAGAAAATGACAAGAAGAGTGACTTTTCAGTTTATACAACTAGACTGATGCTGGTACCGATCTCTGAGAGTGATGATCGGGGCTTTTTTAAAGGCAGAAGAGGAGGACATCCAGATGGCTTAGTGGTTGAGTGACTGGCTTTGGCTCAGGGAGTGATCCCGGAGTTCTGGGATTGAGTCCCACATGGGGCTCCCTGCATGGAGCCTGCTTCTCCCTCTGCCTGTGTCTCTGCCTCTCTCTCTCTCTCTCTCTCTCTCATGAATAAATAAATAAAATCTTTTAAAAAAATGGCAGAAGAGGGAGGCAGGTGCAGATTTAAAATGTTAGAGAGAGAGGCATGAGGAGCCAGGGTGCTTAGCCTTGAAGGAGGTCTGTGGCCCTTTTACTCTGAACCAGAGAGAAGGATGGGGTCAAGTAAGTTGCACTCCTGTCTCCCCTAAGGAGTACCAGGAAGAAAAGTGAATTCTCCCATCTTTCAGAACTGAGGTATAATTGCTGGATGGTACAGGCTCCTGAATTATCCAGACAAGCTATACTACCTATTCCTGGCAACCAGAAGGTTTTAGACTGGTGCCATCCAATACAGCTGCCACTAGCCACGTGTGGCTATTGAGCGTTTGAAATGTGGCTGGTCCATATTGAAATGTAAGGCTCAGCAGCTGAGCTGAGCATCTGCTTTCGGCTCAAGGTGTGATGCCAGGATACAGGATCGAGTCCCACGTCGGTCTCCCTGCGTGGAGCCTGCTGCTCCCTCTGCCTGTGTCTCTGCCTCTCTCTTTCTGTGTCTCTCATGAATAAATAAATAAAATCCTAAAAAAAAAAAAGAAACATGAAATGTAAGTGTAGAATACACACTCGATTTCTTAAATGTAAGTATGACAAAGTATGTATGAAAAACTCAAGTATGAAAAAACAATGTAAATATCTATTTTTTAAGATATTGATTACACGCTGAAATGATACTACTTTGGGCATACTGGGCTAAATACATGAATACAGTTAATTATGAATTAATATCTCTTAACTTTTTAAAATGTAGCTACTAGAAAATTTTACATTATCTGGCTCAAATTATATGTGTGGGACAGCAATGTTTTAGACAGAAATTCAGCCTAGCGTTCCAAGATACATCGTTCTACTATTTGAACCATTTTACCAGCTTCCTTTGGGCCATTTCGCCGGTACCCGCGCTCCAACTCGCGGGACTCCTGAACAGCTCCACGGCCCCCGGCTCCCACCCAGAAGGACTACAAGGGCCAGGGTGCACTGCGCGCCCTTGGGGGCGGGGCCTGAAAGAGCAGCCTCTTCGTGACGTAACGTCCGCTACGTTCCTGCGCTCCCACGAGGGGCGCGCACCTCGGAGGCGGGAGGGACGCGGTGGTGTGGTGGGGCCGAGGGCGCCCAGTTGCGCAGGGGCTGCCCTTGGGTGCGGGTGAGTTGCCCTCGTTCCTGACTTCCTGAGCCCATTTTGTGTGTGAAGCGGTGGTGAGGACCGTGCCTCCCGCGGCGCGCGCGCGTTTCCCGGAAGTGCCAGTGGCCGGTGCGGGCGGGCGCGAGGCGTGCGGCGCGGAGGCAGGCGCGCGGGTCATCGCTGCGTCATGGACCCGGAGCCTCTCGGGGACTGGCCGAGTGGGCCCCACCCCGGCTCCGGTGGGGGCGAGAAGGGGCTGCGACGCAGGATATGAAGGAGCGGGGGCTAAGGCGAAGGCCTGGTCTCCCCTGGCGGCCGACCTGCCGTAACTTTCCCTTGAAAAGAAAGTGCGTTTTAACGCTTCAGGCCGTCTTGTGGGCAGAGAAATGCCCGTTTAAGCTGTTTCATAGGAAGTTACTCAAGATCTAAGAGAGAGTTGGATTTGGATTTGCAAAACATTGATTCATTTCAGCCGCTGTGCACGCTCCCCCAGACACCTACGTGAATGAGGTGATGGAACCGTTCAGGCCGCATCGTCTTAGGGCGTCTGAGTGACTTCTGGCCTGGCTGCTGCGGTTCGCGGTATGTGCCTCTGGTTCAATTTCACGTGGATGCCTTGTGATGCCCGGGTCCCCCCAACCCCAGAGTGAGGGGGGAAAATCCCTTCCAGAGACCGGATTCTAGGATCTCCCATATGCCTTTCTTTGGCCCAAAAGATAAGGTGACCCGCTGGTTCTCTGACTTTAAAGTCACAGTTTGTGTCAGGTCCTGCCAGATTCTGGTTTTCAGTCACTATGGTCTCATTTTACCATTACCGTGTATTGCAGCAACAGGCCTCCACATTGGAATTCTTAAAAGATAAACTGAGGCACATTAAAATTTTGAAGGTTGGGAGTTGGGGGGAGGGGGCAAAAATCAATTCCAGTTAGGCAGCACCAAACCAAAAGTGAATAGGAACACTCTGCAGATCAGAGCTAGGGGAGAGACTTTATATAAAGTGCCGCAAGAAAGGGAACTACTTGATTGGCAATAGTTTAAAGCCTAGGTGGTGCTTTGTGCTTGGTTATGCTTAGTGTTGTCCTTTCTAACCTAGAGACACATACAGACCTAGATCATGGTTTGCTTACAGAGGCCACCACAGCATTAGAGCCACATCAGTCTAATGGCCTCCTGGTTTAATTCATTTAACCCGGTGCTGAAGGCTCATTGTAGAAATAGTTTTCAGAAGCTACATGCATTGGGACTCAGTAATGCCTTTTTGTTTTGTTTTAATCCTTAGCTGTATCTGTCACCATAGGATCTCATTTTCTGTTAAGAAGCTTCTCATACATTTGAGTCCAAATGAAATCATTGAGGGAGCATAGAGTCAAGAGTAGAAGAGTTTCTAGCAAGCATCTTCTCAGGTCTGACCTGCTTAATGGTTTCTTAATTCATGGCTTTACATTGCCATTGCAACCCGCCCCACCCCACCCCTTGCTCCCCAAGGACCTCAAGACAATCAGGAACATAAAATGTTCCTTTTTGGAATATTAATCCCAATACTAATTATTAATCCCATAATTAAAGAGTTGTTTTTCTCTTCTGACTTCCTCCTCACCTCCCAGATTGACTCAGTCTCTCTCTAAGAAATCTTCAGAGGCCCCTGTCAAGAAAACAACTCTTTAATTTCTTCTATAGTGTTTGATGAGGCATGGGATGCCTAGGTGGCTCAGTGGTTAAGTCCACCTTCGCTTCAGGTCATGATCCCAAGTCCTGGGATCGAGTTCCACATCAAGCTCCCTGCAGGCAGCCTGCTTCTCCCTTGCCTATGTTTGTCTTTCATGAATAAATAAATAAAATCTTAAAAAAAAATCAAAAATGAAAAGGGGCACCTGGGTGGCTCAGTGGGTTAAAAATCTGACTCTTGATCTCAGTTCAGGTCTTGATCTCAGGGCCGGGAGTTCAGGGCCTCCACACGCAGTGTGGAGCCTACTTTAAAAGGTGCAGGGGTGAACAGGGAAGTAATAGAAGAAAATGGCCCATAGAGTTCCAGATGGAGAAACTTCAGTATATGCGGTTGGGTTACCCTGAAAGCCTGTCAAAGCACCTAGGCAAGTTGTAGCATCTTGCTCTGGTTCTCCTTTCTGTACTTCTGATAGTTGTGGGTTTTGATCAGGCCCAGCACTGACTCAGACCATGTGGACCGCAGATGAGATTGCACGGCTGTGTTACGAACACTATGGGACCAGGCTGCCCAAGAAGGGGAAGCCCGAGCCCAACCGTGAGTGGACGTTACTGGCCGCAGTGGTGAAGGTACAACTCGTAGCTGACCGGGCCTGTGGTGGCAGTAACAGACCAAAACAAGGTGAGGCCTCTTCACCTCTGAACACTCCCTGTCCACATCAGAGATGATAGAATTATCCGTGGCTGTCCAGGCAACAGTCCTGGCTGGTGTCCACTGCAGCAGTGGCATGTTCCCCTGCTCTCCACCAGGTGGCGCAGTACTCGTGGGAGGTGGCACTGTGGAACCACAGGCCTGGATCCGTCATCCTATAGGAATGCTCTGGAGGGGTGTGCACACATGAAACCTGAGGGCGGGGGACCATTCACGTTAGGAGAGCTCGCTTAATGATTCATTTCTTTTCCTCTCAGTGACAAAGGAAGTTGTCTCAATGGGAACAGGAACGAAATGCATAGGCCAGTCCAAAATGAGGAAGAGCGGTAAGCTCAGGTGGGGTCTAAACAATACCTGTTGAGGGAGCTTTGGAAACCACCCTGCATTTTGTCCTCTCCTGTCCCCAGTAAAGGGGCCACATCACTGAAGTGGCTGACATTTCCATTCCCACTGATTGTCACAGTCTAGTTGGAAGGACAGAACTCATTTTAAGAATCAGAATAAACTGTGGAAGCAGAGGCTGCCAGGAACATGCCTTCTGCATAGTTTGAAAGTTGGCCAGTATTTTCATGCTCAAACCAAAAGTTCCCTGGACGTGGCTGTTCCTCATTATGTCTGACGTCCCCCAGAAAGCAATCTTTAATTAGATGGAGATTTGGGCACCGAAAAGAATACGGAAATCCCCTAGAGATCTGGTATCTTCACCTTCTGCTTCTAGTTAGATTCTTTCTCAGATTTGCTTTCCCCGTTTTCTTAGCCTTGCCTCCTGCATTCCAGGACCTCTATGGGTTGAATTTGATGGAATCATATCACCACGAGCTCAAGGGTGATATCAGGGTACAAAAGACATGGACCCCTCTTCTTCAGATATGTTCCTATAAATGAGTAGTTCTCAGCTAATGGGGAGATTTTGTCCCCCAGGAAACATTCAGCAGTGGTGGGAGACATTTTTAGTTGTCATAGCTCAGGGGAAGGGGACACTATGCTACCTGCCTCTGGTGGTAGAGGCCAGGAATGCTACTAAACATCCTACCTTCCACAGGACAGAGCCTCACAACAAAGAACTTTTTTAACCCAAAATGTTAGTAGTGCTGATTTGAAGAAACCCTGCATTGTCATCATTGATTGTAGTACTTCCTAACAGAGTCCTCCGGGAGCTACATGCCCATTCTGGCTGCTGGGGGAGTCCACCATGTTCTACTTCTAGGAAACAGGGCCTCTCTAGGTTCTGTATGTCTTCACTAGTGTCCTGTCTTTGCCGCAGGAGACATCCTCAATGATAGCCATGCCGAGGTCATAGCCAGAAGGAGTTTCCAAAGGTAAAGGCACATCCCCAGAGAATCTGACTTAGCTAGTCGTGGGGGCCCCAGAACTTGCATTCCTAATAAGCTCTCAAGTAATACTGATAATGTCAGTCTGTGAGCTACACTTTGAACAGCACTTGTCTAGACAGTGGTTCTCATGCCTGGTGTGTGGCAGAATTACCTACGTTTGTGAAAACCCAGATTTCTGGGCCCACCCCTAGAGTTTCCGCCTCAGCAGGTCTGGGGTGGGACCTAAGAAGCATTTCTGATGAATTCCAGATGATGCTGGTGCTGCTGGTTCAGGGGCCACACTTTGAGAATCACTAGTCTAGATCATTGTCATAATTCCAAATCACTGCCAGTCCCATCTATCCACGGCAACTCTTTCTTTGTTAGTAATCAACCAGCCAGAGTCTTTCCCCCCACCACAGAGACTGGTTGTTCATTCTGATAACATCTTGCTCCTCAATAGATACCTTCACTACCAGCTCCACTTGGCAGCCGCCCTGAAGGAGGATAGCATCTTTGTCCCTGGCACTCAGAGAGGGCTGTGGAAACTCAGACCAGACCTCTTGTTTGTGTTTTTCTCCAGCCATACACCCTGTAAGTATATTTCAGTCTTAGAATTAATGTTGTATTGTCTACTTCCTTGTGTCCTCTTATCCGTAGATACATTTCTCGAAAAGCTCTTCTGGCTACAGTGTAGCTATAAGCAGGGGACTGAACAGGCCACTGTTCCTGATCACTTCTCTACCAAGAAAAGACTGTGGTTCTCAGTTCCCAGTCAGGATTGGGAAGCTTCAAGCTGAAACCCCATAAGGTCTGAAACCAGCTGTAGGGCTGAGAAGTCCAAAGCCCCAAGTTCTGTAGTGATTTATCCTGAAAGTCATTCTATTCATGCTTCATTCAACAGTTATTTTCCACTACGTGTCAGACACAGTATGACATACCGGATATGTAACAGTGAGTAAGACCAGTTCCTTGTTTAGCCTCGTAGAGCCCTTAGGGAATGTAGACAGTTATGATTAGTTAAGTTAAATTTCAGTGAATTATGTGGGGATGTTCAGGTGCTGTGGTTGTGTTAGGCAGGATAGCCTAAGGGTGATCACTGGTTTTTGTCTTGAAAATTGAGAATAATTTCTACTCTTCATAGACAGCAACTCAAGGATGGCAGTAAATTTTCATCACCCTAAAACATTTGAAGTAAGAATATAATACCTCTAAACATCAAACTCTAAAACACATGCAACTAACACAAGAGCAGGTATACATACTCACTCTAAAGAGACAATAGCTGTCAAGACTTGGTCATAATTCAAATTAGAAATATAATACAGCTTAAGGAAAAATGAGTCCATCAGAAAAGAACTGGTTGAGTTAAAGGCCAGAAAAATGACATACAGAGGTAGATGGGGCTCATCCGTGCTAATAGCGGATGCCCTGGTCCAAGAACTAAAGGATGTTTCCTATTTTGGTGCTTCTCAAACTATAATTTGCATATGAATCACCCACAGATCTTAATAAAATGTAGATTCAAATTCATTGGGTCTGGGATGAAGGCTAACATTCTGCGTTTCTAACCAAGTCCCCCTGGTGCCAGTGGTGTTGGCCTGTGGACCACACTTTGAGTAACCAGGGCTTGGCTGATCAGGTGGCAGGCGTAGCCTGATTATGGAGAGAGAGGCATCTGCAGATCACAGCTAGCCCGATGGCCTAATGAGACCACATAAATCAGTGGTCCACAGGCTGGTCTATATAGCCAGATGGGGAAAATCAGGACTGTAGTAAGTTTTTCAGAAAGCTAATTTCTTTCCATGTAAAGAATATGAGATTTTTATCTTTTTATTTTAAGTAGTGGTAACTAGGAAAAAAGAAAGAAATGGTGGTAATTAGGATTTTTAACGATCTTCCTTGATGGAATACAAAATTGACCACCCTCTGTTGATCTTAAAATCTTCTGGAAATTTTAGTGATATGTGAAATCAAAATCTAGAACCACTGATCTAACTGCCCTGGGCTAATGGATAATCTTTTAAAACATGATGTCCACCCATGGTTTGTCTCAGGATGAAAGAACACTACCTGGAAAATGTGACTGTCTGGCTCCCTTTGCATTTATTTGTCATTGCTAATTGATAACTTGGTGCCTGAGTTAGCTATTTCAGACTCTTACTTGTGAGTTTTATTAGCATGAGTCAGCCTCTCGAGTTTAGGCATCACACTGTCTAGATCAAATCTCCAAGCCTTTCAGAATGGGAGGTGGGCCCCAGTCAATTCTCCAAAGTCTCCTTGTGAGGTCTCTGGAAGCCCGCCAGCTAGCCTCTCTGGCAACACGCCCACTTCTGCATCTCCTGCCTTTCCCACTCTCAGGTTATAAAGCCTACAGATGTATTATTTACACACTTTAGAAAAAACACACATTAGGTTAGTGTTTGAAGAAGTAGCTCTTCTCAAGGGAGGCTGTGCTTTTTAGCAATCTCTGGTTTTCTTTGATTCTGTTTAAGGACAAAGGTCAGAAATCTCTAACCCAGCACAGGGAAATACCATTTGTGTAATTCACTGCAGAGTCTGTACTGTGAGGATATGCACATAAATCTCCAGGATGGGGGAATTATGAACGTTTTTGCCAAACATATTTTTTTAACTTTTTTTTTTAAAAATTTATTCATGAGAGAGAGAGAGGCAGAGACACAGGCAGAGGGAGAAGCAGGCTCCATACAGGGAGCCTGACGCGGGACTCGATCCCGGGACTCCAGGATCACGCCCCAGGCCAAAGGCAGATGCCCAACCACTGAGCCATCCGGGCGTCCCACCAAACATATTTAACCATGAAATCAACCTCCCACTTTTGTTTCCAAAGCATTTTATGGGGTAACATTCCACAAAATGTTCTTGGGAAACCATGCTCTTTATAAACCAAGGGTTCTCAACTCAGGAGAGTTTTGCTTCTCGGGGGAAATTTAGCAACCTCTGGGGACACTCTGATGGTCAGACTGAGGGTTGCTATTGGTATCTAGTAGGTAGAGACTGAGAAGCTGCTAGCCATCCTGTAACGTAAAGGATAGCCCCAACAGCAAAGAATTATCTGCCCCAAAATGTCAATACTATGAAAGTTGACAAATCCTGGTCTAAATTAGTATTTCCAAAACTTCCTGTGATGAGAATTACCTGGGATCTTATTAAAGTATTCTTGTTTTCCAGATCCCTCCACCCCAGAATTTCTAACTCACTGGGTCTAGGTAGGACAGAGCTGCAAAGGATTCTTACTTGGGAAATTTGGGCAAGTCTTCCTAATTCATCTCAGGTCATCTGGGAAAATATAATTAAATTCTGGTTAAGACAGTGGTTCTCCTCTCATCAGAATGACCTGGAGAGCTTGTTAAAACACACTGCTTGGTACCACCTCTAGAGTTTCTGATTCAGCAGATTTCACTGTGGGTTCTAAGAGTTTGCATTTCTAACAAGTTCCCAAGGGACATTGATATGGCTGGTCCACTGGTGTTGTGGAGAGAGAGGTTTTGAGAACCACTGGTTTTTAAGGGCTTCCTTCTCCTGCAGGTGGGGATGCCTCCATCATTCCAATGCTTGAGTTTGAAGATCAGCCCTGTTGTCCTGTCAGTAGAGATTGGGCCAATAACCCATCAGTAGAAGCCGATGGTAACCTGGAAGCTCCTGAAAATAAAAAGAAATGTGAAGATCTGGGTAGTCCTGTGACCAAAAAGATGAGGCTTGAGCCTGGAATTCCTGATGGTGTGGGTCACCATCAGAGTTTTGGCAATCAGGAGAGTGGCCCAATCCCACCAAGTATCAGTGGCTCTAATCTCACCACACAGGAACTGGCCACTGTCACCGGAATGGCCCCCAGTGGTGCCAAAGTGGTAGATGTTTATAGAACTGGAGCTAAGTGCGTGCCTGGAGAAGCAGGAGACTCGGGAAAGCCTGGTGCTGCGTATCACCAGGTGGGACTGCTCCGGGTGAAGCCTGGCCGGGGAGACAGGACTTGCTCCATGTCCTGCAGTGACAAGCTGGCACGGTGGAATGTCCTCGGATGCCAAGGGGCACTGTTGATGCACCTTCTGGAAAAGCCTGTCTACCTGTCAGCCGTAGTGATTGGGAGATGCCCATATAGCCAGGAAGCCATTCAGAGAGCTCTGACTGGGAGGTGAGCAGGGAAGGAGGTGTCAGCTGGAATGGTCTTTCCAAGAAGCAGTGTGAGAGTATGTCCAAAGAGCCTTTAAAATGTCCATACGTCTTGATCCAGCGGTTCCATTGCTAGGAATTCGTCCTAAGGAAATGATTAAGAAAGTCCCCAAACATTTAGCTTTGCGTGTAGTCATTTTTAAGAAAGAAAAGGAAACCAGTGAAATGGCCAGCCATAGATTAAGTGATTTTTGTTAAAACTACTACTGATGAATATTTGATCGGGAAAGAGGCTCATAATTTTATTTTTTTATTTTTAAAGATTTTATTTATTTATTCATGAGAGACACAGAGAGAGGCAGAGACACAGGCACAGGGAGAAGTAGGTTCCATGCAGGAAGCCTGACATGGGACTCGATCCTGGATCTCCAAGATCAGGCCCTGGGCTGAAGGCGGCGCCAAACCACTGAGCCACCCGGGCTGCCCGAGGCTCATAATTTTAAAGAGCAAGTTAAAAGATACAATGAGTTCATTTTGGTCTTAAAGTACATATGCAGATGAAGCTCTGCGCAGTGGCAGTATCGTAGCCAGTGAGGGTTATCCGAGGCACGATTATTGCTAATTGAAAAATCACATATGCAGATGAAAAAAAAGTTGTGGGAGGATATACACCACAGTATTAATATGATCACTTCTCTGAGTGTTTTTTTTCTGTGTTTACTCTTTTTTTTTTTTAAGGTTTTATTTATTTATTCATGAGAGACAGAGAGAGAGAGAGAGAGAGGCAGAGACAAAGGCAGAGGGAGAAGCAGGCTCCATGCAGGGAGCCTGACGTGGGACTCGATCCTGGGTCTCCAGGATCACACCCCTGGCTGAAGGCAATGCTAGAACATGAACAGCAATGTTAATCTTTTAAAAGATAAAAGACAAAAAAGATGATCATTCAAGTGTGGTCTCCCTCAAGAAGGGCAGCCAGGCCAAGTTAAGGCTAGGTAACTGAGGGCAGGGTGAGGCCATGGCCAGGAGAGGCCTGTCATGTCAGATGTGCTGCTCCCGAGGCCGAGTCCTGGGAACAGACGCACTCATTCCACTCCTAGGTGGGTACATACCCAGGAGAAATAAAAACACACATCCATATCAGAACTTGGACATGAAAGCAGCCCAGGTGGCTCAGCGGTTTAGTGCTGCCTTCAGCCCAGGGCCTGATCCTGGAGACCTAGGATTGAGTCCCATGTCAGGCTCCCTGCATGGAGCCTGCTTCTCTCTCTGCCTGTGTCTCTGCCTCTCTCTCTCTCTCTCTCTCTCTCTCTCTCTCTCTTTCTCTGTCTCATGAATAAATAAATAAAATCTTTATTTAAAAAAAAAAACTTGGACATGAATGTTCATAGCGGTACCAGTCATAATAGCCACAAACTGAAAGAGCCCAGATGTGCACAGATAAACAAAAGGTAGTAGACTGTTACAGTGGATCGTCAGCCACGAAACAGAGTGAAGGCCAGTTACACGCTATGACATGGATGAGCCTTGAAAGCTTTATGCTAAGTGAGAGGGGCCACAGAGTGTATGATTTCATGAAGTGAAATGTCCAAAATGGGCAAATCCGGAAGTAGATTAATTAGTAAGTGCTGGAGAAGGGCATGGGGAGTGACCGCTGATGGGTGTGGGGTTTCCTGTTGGGAATGAAATGTTAGAAACTTAGGTTGTGGTGACAGTGGCACAATTCCGTGAATATACTAAAAACAAAAAACCCATGAATTCTATGTTTAAAATGGATGAGTTTTATGGTATACAAACTATGTCTTATATAATGTTTTAAACAAAAGCATCCTAGGCACTATGCTTGAGACAGTCTCTGTGTTTTCCATACTTTATCTATTCTGAGACTTTAAAGCTGCTGTCTGCTTAGTTCCAGAGCAGCCTCATGTTGGCATCTAGATTGTGTGAAAGAATCAAGCGGGGAAAACAAAGCTTTTATATTATAGGACAGTTTTGGTTTCTAGTGTGTTTGGAGGATGCCCTAGGAAGCAGATGCCAACAAATTAATATTTCTGTTTAAGGGTTTGAAATCTTTGAAAGCCAGTGCCAGGGCTGGAGTTTAGTGTCCCTGTTGTCACTGAGGGTGGGGACTCAGCTTGTTTTCACTTCAGAGTGATAGGAAGGGATCTCCCTCCAGCCAGAAGGTTCATGTGCTCTAGATACTGTTTGGTCACATACTGTCACCGAGACACAGGGGTGCTTGAAGTGGCCCATGGGCCTAGACACTTTCTCCAGGAGCATCCCAAAAGTAGTGCATTTTCCTTCACATTTAGGTGTCAGAACGTCTCAGCTCTCCCCAAAGGCTTTGGAGTTCAAGAAGTGAAAATACAGCAATCAGGCTTACTATTTGAACACAGCCGCTGTGCCGTGCAGGCGAAAAGAGCTGACGGCCCAGGCAGACTTGTTCCTTGTGGCGCAGGTAAGGTATCCGCGTTCCACTTGCCCCAGAATAACTTTGCCCCAGGCTGTGGGGTGGCCTGGGAGGGGCTACATCCATGCAGCTTGGGAAGGCCACCTATTACCCGAGTGGTCAGTAGTGCCAGCTTGGGACACACCTATACTGGATCCAGTTCATGCTGTGCCTGACCCTGGGCAACCTACTTATCCTATCTTAGCCTCGGGTTCTTTATCTTCAGAGAAGATACAGAAGAAATATCATTTCTTAACAACTAATCTGATTAATAGGGGCACCTGGGTGGCTCAGTGGTTGAACATCTGCCTTTGGCTCAGATCATGATCCGGGGTCCTGGGATTGAGTCCCGCATCAGGCTCCCTGCAGGAAGCCTGCTTCTCCTTCTGCCTATGTCTCTGCCTCTCTGTCTCTCATGAATAAATGAATAAACAAAATATTAAAAAAAAATCTCTAGCTTTCTTGGTAAATTATAGGCTATTTTTTAAAAATCCAATTAATAAAATGGACAGAAGACATGAATAAATGTTTCTTCAAAGAAGACATCCAGATGGCCAACAGACACATGAAGAGTCTCAACATCACTCATCATCAGGGCAATTGCAAATCAAAACCATAATGACATATCTCCTCACCTATCAGAATGGCTACATTTAACACAAGAAACAACTGTTGGCAAGGAGGTGGAGAAAAAGGAACCTCCTTATACTGTTGTTGGTGGGAATGCAAACTGGTATAGCCACTGTGGAAAACAGTATGGAAGTTCCTCAAAAAATTAAAACTACTCTATGCTCCAGTATTCACACTACGAGGTATTTACACTAAAAGTACAAAAACATTAATTCAGAGTTACATGCACTACTGTGTTTTTTGCAGTATTATTTGCAATAGCCGAGCTATGGAAGCAGCCCCAGTGTCCATCAAGTGATGAGTGGATAAAGAAGATGTGAGATAGATATACAGATTGATCAACAGATAAAATGAAATATTACTCAGCCATAAAAGAAAATGAAATCTTGCCATTTGGAATAATATGGATGCAGCTAGAGTGTATTATGCTAAGCAAAATAAGTCAAAGAAACAACATATGATCTCACTCATATGGAATTTAGAAACAAAACAAATGAACAAAGGGGAAAAAAATAGACACAAACCAAAAAAACAGACTCTTAACTCTAGAGAACAAACTGATGGCTACCAGGGGGGAGGGATGAAATAGATTGGGTTTATAAGAGTAGACTTATGATGAAAAAAATATTTTCTTATGAGGATTAAATGACAAATCCTATTTCATGCATTGACTGTGTGTCCACCATATAATAAATTCTGAGTTGTTAAGAATTTATGAGTTGTTAAGAATGAATAATGATGAATAATGAACCTCTTCTTTATATTACTGTACTATGGAGGCCAAACATCATGAACCTCTTCTTTATATTACTGTACTATGGAGGCCAAGCATCAGAGTGGCAGCCATTGACTCCGATGTCCTATCTAGCTCCCATTGGTCTGCAAAGAGGGAAATATTTTTGGGGAAACACTTCTGACATTCACAAGAAACTGAACAGTTTTAACCTCAGAATCTTGTCTTTTCATAGCCATCAGTTGGAGTGCAGTTCCTGAGCAGCCACTGGATGTCACTGCCAATGGTTTTCCGCAGGGAACAACAAAGAAAGGAATCCGGTGCCTTCAGGCCAGGTACAGCATACTGGGGCAGAAGGGAGATAGTGGTTGTGCAGGCACCTTTTACCACTATGTAATTCCGGAACATCTTCATCACCCCAGAAAGAAACCCTGCACCTGTGAGCAGTCAGTTCCATGCCTGACTTCAGCCCCTGACGTCCACGAATTTACTTTCTGTCATTGTATTTATCCATTCTAGACATTTCACTGCATGAAATCATACAATATATGGCTTAATTTACTTAGCATAAAGTATGCTTACTTAGCATAAGGTTTTCAAGGCTCATCCATGTTGTAACACGTAATGATAACCTGTATACCGTTGTATCGATCTAACCACTTTCTGTTTATCCATTCTTCCCTCAATGGGCATTTGGGTTATTTCACTTTTGTGCTATTAGGAATGCTGCTGCTGCAAACATTTTATCATGACATATCAGGTGGACATGTTTTAAATTCTCTTGGGTATACCTTAGTGTGGAATTGCTGAGTCATATAATGACCTTGGGGGTTTTTTGCTTTTTTGAGGAACTGCCAAAACAGTTTTCTATAGCAGCTGCACCATTTTAAACTCCTACTAGGGATTTATGAGACTCAGTTACCCTACATTTTTTACCACACTCGTTATTGTCTGTCTTTTTTATTGTAGCCATTCTAGTGGGTATGAAGTGCTATCTCATTTTTTAAGATTTTATTTATTCATGAGAGTTACTGACAGGCAGAAGCAGAAACAGGCTCCCTGAGGGGAGCCTGATGCAGGACTCAATCCCAGGACCCCCGGATCACACCCTGAGCTGAAGGCAAACACTCAACTGCTGAGCCACCCAGGCATCCCTCATTGTAGTTTTGATGTGCTTTTCCCTAATAACTGTTCAAGCTTCTTTTGATGTTGGGCATTTTTTCATATACTTATTAGCCATTTGTCTTCTTCGGAGAAGTATCTATTCTTATCCTTTGCCCATTTTTAAACTTGGTGTATTTACCTTTATTGTTGAGCTGAAGGATTTCTTTATATAAAATGGATAGTCTTTTATCACATATGTATTTAAACATATTTCCTGCAGTTCTGTGGGTTGTCTTTTCACTTTTTGAAAGTATCCTTTACGGCACAAAAGTTTTAAATTTTGTTGAAGTCTGTTTTATCTATATTTTTCTTTGGTGGTTTGTGCTTTTAGTGTCACAGGTAAAAAACCATTGCCTGATTCAACATCACATAGATTTGCTTTGTTTTCTTCTCATAGTTTTATAGTTTTTTTTTTCTTAAGATCTTATTTATTCAAGACAGAGAGCATGAGCAGAGGGAGTGGGAGAAGCAGACTTAACTGCTGATAGGGAGCCTGATATTGCACTCTGTTGCAGGATCTCAGGATCATGACCTGAGCCAAAGGCAGACGCTTAACTGACTGAGCCACCCAGGTGCCTCCAGTTTTATAGTTTTAGCTCTCAGGTTTATGATTTTGACCCAATTGAATTAATTTTTCTGTAAGGTGTGAGGTAGGCGTCCAATTTCATTCTTTTGCATGGAGATACCCAGCTGCCCTGCCACCATTTTTTTGGAAAGACTGTTCTTTCCCCTGGAAGATTTTGAAAAGAACACTTTCTTGGGCTTTACCATTAGGAATTCTGGTTTCATGGGTCAAGGTTGGAATCCAAGAATCATTTATGAAGCTTGACAGTGATTGGACTGGCAAAAGGGGAACCATGAAAGCAAGACTTGTCATCTTCAAATTGGCTTTTACTGAAATGTAGAGCATATAGTCTGCTGGACATGAGACTCCCTGTGTGTTTGAAGGTTCATGCATCTGCCTTACTGATCTTTTTTTTTCCTGAATGTTCAGAGATGCCACTCTGCTTTTTTCTCTTAGTAGTCTTCAATAGCCTGAGGGTGGGAGGGGCTGCAGGGGAATGACCTCTCCACCAAAGGTATTTACATCTCAGGTGAATTGAGCTGCCACTGAGTGACTGTTGTAGGATCCCATCATTTACAGCCACAGTTAACCCTTGAACAATGGGGGAGTTTAGGGGCACTGACACCCCTTGCATTTGAAAATCCATGTATGACTTTTGATTTCTCAAAAACTTAACCACTAATAGCCTGTTGCTGACTAGAGGCCTTACTGGTAACATAAACGGTTCAAAAACATGTATTTCATACTGTCTTCTTTTTTTTGTTTTTTTTTTTTTATTTTTTTTATTTATTTATGATAGTCATACAGAGAGAGAGAGAGAGAGGGGCAAAGACATAGGCAGAGGGAGAAGCAGGCTCCATGCACCCGGAGCCTGACGTGGGATTCGATCCCGGGTCTCCAGGATCGCGCCCTGGGCCAAAGGCAAGCGCCAAACCGCTGCGCCACCCAGGGATCCCTTTTTTTTGTTTTTTAAAGAGAGAGGGCATGCATGTGCATGAGTGGAGGGAGGGAGAAAGGGAGAGGGAGAGAGCATCTTAAGCAGGCTCCACACCCAGTGCGGAGCCCATCACGGGACTCCATCTCACAACCCTGGATCGTGACCTGAGAGTAAATCAAGAGTCGGATACTTAACCAACTGAGCTACCCAGTTGCCTGCTTATGTGCTGTATTCTTACCGTAAAGTAAACTAGAGAAAAGAAAGTGTTAAGAAAACTATAAGGAAAATAACAATGACAATGCTGTATTTATTGGAAAAAAAAAAAAAACCCTTGTGTAAGTGGACCCTGTGCAATTCAAACCCATGTCATTCAAGGGTCAACTATAGTTCTTTTCACTCTGAGTTGTTTTTCCATTTCATTACTATTTCCTCACAAAAAGTTGTAACTAAAATTAACAGGTGGATTTCTTTCTTTTTGATGCTTATTTGCCAGCCTCAACACAGACAACAGTAACAGCTTACATGTTCTTAGACTTTAAAATTTTATTCTTTGCAACCACTAACCTGGGTTCCAATAGCCTAGTCTGTGGACTCAGACAATTTCTTATGGTGCCCTAGGCTGTTGAATTGAGTGGTATTTACAAAATTAGGGGTAGAGGTTTTTGGATCAGTTTTTCCCCAAGGGCCTTCTAGCTTCAGACCACTGTTTGCATCTCTCAGGGACCAGCTCAGCCACAGACCAGAATGTGTTAACAGAGCAGGTTGTGCCTTCACCAGGACCAGATTTCCTGCAGAGTTCCCGCTCCACCTGCAGTGACAGGCCAGCAGCAGCCGTTCTGGCTCCTCCCACCTGATTGAAGCTGCAGTTTGTGCTTTGCTCAGATCTAAATGCTCTTCTTCTCTGGGAATCTACACCCTCTTTTACCTTAAAAGGTCAGCTGCCTCTGCTTTCTGGCTCACAATCACCATCCTCTTTTCCA